CGCTTTACTCTGGCCGAGGCTTTTGTTTAATTCGAACGCTCCAACTCTAAGACTTGCAGTGGGAAAAAAAATATATATGTTTATTTGACTGACCTGTTTGCAAGTCTCCTCTGGCCTCCGCCCTCCTTTCCGGCCCTATGGACTTTGACCAAGATGTTTTCTCTTAGAACTTTTGTAGGGTTTTAAGCTTAACCCTCTGTGTTTCTTTGTTTAATATGTTCCAACGGAGACAGTTCTGTGGCGGCGACATCTCCTATTTCAGTTAGTTCCAACCGCCCCCTGCCGCTTTAGTAGCCTATTGTGTATTGTGAGAAACAGCGCCGGGAAATTAATGGGTAAAATCCAGTTTCCCTTCTCATCCCTTGCAGTCGTCTGTCTCCCTGCCGACTTCCCCTGCCCCGCCACAGGTTGCCTAAAGAGAGCAAAATCCACTGTAGGGTGCATCTAGATAAGCTGTAAAGATGTGACATCAAGTCCTGGTATAGCGAAAGCGAACATACAGGTGGTGGCGCTCCCAGGGCCAGTGTTTCACAGGCCATTGTGCTGTATTTTGTGTTTGTTTTCCTTTCTGTGGTTGTTGCTTTGGGATTGTGAGGGGATGGTAGAATTTAAGGGTTTTTATTAATGAGTTCCTGATGTATTTACTCTCACTGGTCAGTTTGCTTAGTCCTGGAGAGCCTCGACATTAAAAAAAATAACGTTACCGTCAGTGATACCGTCTGAGTAACTGCTGGTCTGTTGCTGGTGGGGTGCAGTCTCTTTTTCACCAGTAGTCCCCTTTTGCCTCTAGCAAACTGCCAGAGATATTATCCTTAACCTATTAAAAGTTGTCACCAGAAAAAGGGAGGAGAGCAAGGACAAAAAATTTGCCTATGTGGAAATGTCCATCTGTTTCAAAGTTGTACATTAAAACAAGATGTATACTTAGTGCTAAGGGGAGTATATTGCATTTAGTTTAATTAAGAGCTTTTCCAATTAGTTTTCGTGACAAATGGCTGGAATTAAAATGTGTTATTTAAAGTGTAAATCACTTTTAGAATTTACTGAATAAATCGAAAAGAATATAAACTGTATTACAGTTTTCTAAATAGTTTTTCTTTTTTCTTTTCAGATATACAGCCCTGAAGAGTCTGCTTTTTTCCCCTTATTTTTTCCTCCCTGCAGTAATAAATCCCATTATGGAGACCCAGAAACTTTATGAAGGGATATAGTTTGAATTCTGTGGAGTGTAATTTTGTGTATGAATTATATTTTTAAAATATGAAGGGTTTTCAGAAAGAAGGCTAGTAAAGTTAATTACTGGTGCGTTATTCACGAGTAGTGGTTCTGCTGGTAATAAAATATCTTGTTAGGTATTTGTGATAACACTAGGAAGGACAAGCTGTATCTTGATAAATTGATTTAATTGCAAGATGAATCATATTATAGATGCATGATTCGTAAATGAAAGACAGGCTAATTGTTTTGTAAAAAGTTTATGTTGTTGAAAGTTTATGGCTAAAACTAGTCAAGTTTATGGAGAAGACACCTTCAATGGATCAAGTGTAATACAGTGGAATGCAAAGTTAGACAACATAGTAATGATGCTGCAGGAAATAGAAACGAATATAGACCATATTTAACAAAGATGGAAGAGTTGGCAGTTTGTGAACTTTAAGTAAAATTTATTTCATTTGATGTAGACACTATAACATGCATAGGTTCCATGAAGCTTGTAGGTGTTGACATTGCCAAAACTTGTTAACAGAAGCTAATTTAACCTTAAGTAAATACTGTGATGATAAGCTATGTGAAATTAGCCTTTAGATAATGTGACCATATGAAGACTTTAACAGAATAAAATATTTTTAAAAAATATCGTATTAAAGTGCTTATGGGGAAAGAAGCCTGAATATAGTTTTTTCCTCCTGTAGAATCCTGTGGAAGTTGGCTTGATATCCAGGCTTTGTAACTTGTAACCCAATGCAAATTAAAGGCATAATTTAGGTATTCTAGCCTTGTTTGGAATTTTGGGAATATAAACCTCCTTGAAAAATCAAGGAGTTTTAACATATTTTCAGAACTGTGTCAACTTCTTTCAGGTCATTAGGTTAACTATTACACCAAGTAATGAGCAAATAGCACTTGAGATACTTAAAAGAGTTAATATAATCCCCAAGAGTTTTAAATGATATCTTGGTAATTTAGGAGAGAGATTCATCCTACCTGAGTATAAACTCAAGTATAAATCCAGCAAAGAAGGTGTTGTGAATTTTACATAAGCAGGAACCTATCATTTGATTCTTTTTTTATGGAAAAAATCTAATTTAGTATTGAAGAGATGAAAAATTTCATGTGAAGGATTTTAGCCATCAAAAAGTAACATCACTTATGCACAAAACTACCTCCCAAAGTCTTATCCCAGGTCCCTCGTATCAAAAAATTAGTATGATGGAAGACAGCACGGTCTTGTCAGATTGGACTATCGGCAATAAACAAAAAATGAAATATGACTTTTCATGTGAACTCTACCGAATGTCTACATATTCAACCTTCCCCACCGGTGTTCCTGTCTCAGAAAGGAGTCTTGCTCGTGCGGGTTTTTATTACACCGGTGTGAATGACAAGGTCAAATGCTTCTGTTGTGGCCTGATGCTGGATAACTGGAAACAAGGAGACAATCCGATCGAGAAGCATAAAAAGTTGTATCCTAGCTGTAGCTTTATTCAGAGTCTGGTTACTGTGACTAATCTGGAATCCACCCCCAAGAATGCTTCTCCAATGAGAAACAGTTCTGGACATTCATTATCACCCACTTTGGAACATAGTAGCTCATTCAGTGGTTCTTATTCCAGCCTTTCATCAAAGCCTGTTAATTCTAGAGCAGTTGAAAACTTCTCCTCATTGAGGACTAACCCCTACAGTTATGCCATGAGTACTGAAGAAGCCAGATTTCTTACTTACCAGATGTGGCCGTTAACCTTTCTGTCGCCATCAGAACTGGCAAGAGCTGGCTTTTATTATATAGGACCTGGAGACCGAGTAGCCTGCTTTGCCTGTGGTGGGACTCTAAGTAACTGGGAACCGAAGGATGATGCTATGTCAGAACATCGCAGACATTTCCCCAACTGTCCATTTTTGGAAAATTCTCTGGAAATGCAGAGGTTTAGCATTTCAAATTTGAGCATGCAGACGAGTGCAGTGCGACTAAGAACATTTATGTACTGGCCATCTGCTGTACCAGTTCAGCCTGATCAACTTGCAATTGCTGGTTTCTATTATGTGGGTAAGAAAATGTATAGCTGTATATTTTATCTAGTTCATTTTGATTTATGTGTTAGAACACGTGTATTCAGTTTTATTCTTTTGTTTTCTTCAGGTCGCAATGATGATGTCAAATGCTTTTGTTGTGATGGTGGCTTAAGGTGTTGGGAATCTGGAGATGACCCGTGGGTAGAACATGCCAAGTGGTTTCCAAGGTAATTGTTGAGAAAGGTATTTCTACACAGAATTCTGTGCTTAAAAGAAGTAGGCATGCTTGCCTGATTAAGTTTACATTTCAGAATAACAAAGCTGCTTCATACTTTAGGGAATTAGCCTTTTAAAACACCAATTTTTCTTTTAAATGTGTTCTTCTTTTAAAAAATAAAAGTTACAGGTAATGATCTAGTGATTCACAATTTTTAAAGGTTATACTCCATTTACAGTTATTATAAAATATTTACTGTATTCCCTGTGTTCTACAATAGATCCTCGTAGCCTATTTTATACCTAATAGTTTGTCCCTCTTAATCCCCTATCTCTATATTGCCCCTCCCTGCTTTCCTCTCCCCACTGGTAACCATTAGTTTGTTCTTTGTATCTGTGACTCTGCTTGTTTTTTGTTTTATTCACTAGTTTGTTTTATTTTTAAAATTCTGCATATAAATGATACCATACCATATTTATCTTTCTCTGACTTATTTCACTTAGCATAATGCCCTCCAAGTCCATCCGTGTTGCTGCAGATGGCAAAATTTCATTCTTTTTAATGGCTGAGTAGTATTCCATTGATATATAATACCACATCTTCTCTATCCATTCAGCTGTTGACGGACACTTAGGTTACTTCCATGTCTTGGCAACTGAATAATGATGCTAGGAACACTGGGTGCATTTATCTTTTTGAATTAGTGTCTTCATTTTTTCCAGATACATACCCAGGAGTGGGATTACTGGGTGATATGGTAGTTCTATTTTTAGTTTTTTGAGACACCTCCATACTGTTTTCCACAGTGGCCACACCAGTTTATATTCTCACCAAGAGTATACGAGGATTCCCTTTTTTCCACATCCTCACCATTTGTTGTGCTCTTTTTGATGGTAGCCTTTAATTTCTGACAGGTGTGAGGTGATACCTCACTGTGGTTTTGATTTGCATTTCCCTGATGGTTAGCCATGTTGAGCATCTTTTCATGTGCCTCTTGGCCATCTGCAGTTCCTCTTTGGAAAAATGTCTGTTTGGTTCTTCTGCTCATTTTTTAATCAGGTTGTTTGGTTTTTGATGTTGAGTTGTATGAGCTGTTTACATATGTTGGAATATTAACCCCTTATTGGTCATATCATTTGCAAATATTTTCTCCCATTTAATAGGTTGTCTTTTTGTTTTGTTGATGAATTCCTTTGCTGTGCAAAAGCTTTTAAGTTTAATTAGGTCCCATTTGTTTATTTTTGCTTTCTATTTCCTGTGTTTTAGGAGACAGATCTAAAAAAATATTGTTGTGATATATGTCAGAGTGTTCTGCCTATATTTTTCTCTAGGAGTTTTATGGTATCCAATCTTAATTTAGGCCTTTAGTCCACTTTTTGTATGATTAAAATACCAAATTTTAACAATTATTTTGATAGAAAATATTATAGAATGTTCTATGATTTCTTCTTTTGTAAATCATGTATTTAGGATATAATTTAACTTATTCCTGATGACTCACTTAAAATTATGACCATATAATTCACATTTCATTTATATATTTTCCATTTTGCTTTTAAGAAGACTTCAGGAGTATAAAAATGTATAATAGAGGAACAAAAAAGAAGACAAGTTAAAAAAGGTTAAGAAGGGAAAAGGGAAACAAGAAGGGACATAAAATAGATCTAGGAATAGGACAAATATAAAAATTTTTATAATGAAAGCTGATTATATAGTCAGAATTGTCTGATTATAGTTATAAATTATTTTTTCTACGTAACTTAATTTTGTTATGATAGATCACTTTATCTCCCTTTAGTTGCTGTTTCTAGCAGTATCTCTTTTTAAAACTTTTTTAAAAATTATTTTCCAACTTTTACATGTAGTGAGATTGGTTTCGCTGTGTCCTATTTTGTTTTTTACTGTGGCCTAGAAAGAAGTTAGAGGTGGTGTTGCTGATGGAAATAGAATTAGAAATTGATTCTGTCTGTGTTACTGAGTAGCTAACTGAACTTTGACAAGTCATATGACCCTTTGAACCTTTTCTCATCTGTAAAATTAGGGAGTTGGACTAGATTTTTTTTTAATTGTGGTAAAATGTACATAACATAAAATCTACCATTTTAACCATTTTTAAGTATGCAGTTCTGTGGCATTAAGTGCATTCACATTGTTCTTCTTTCATTACCACCATGTATTTCCAGACTTTATCTCCCCAAACTGAAACTTAAATTCGTTTCATTGATTCCCCATCTCCTCCTCTCCTCACCCCTTGTCACCCACCATTCTAGTTTCTGTCTCTACAAATTTGACTATTCTAGGTACCCTGTATAAGGGGAGTCGTATAATATAGATAATGTTTTGACCTGTGAGTACCTTTTACAATAATGAGGAATCTCTTGAACCTCTTTAATATTCATAATATATCAGGATAAATTTTGACTTTCTAAGTCTGAAAAGTGACATGTATTTTGTTTACTTTAAATTATTTTTTAGGAAAAAGCATGTTTTATTGTCAGAATTTTGAATGACTTGATTATGCTCTATGAGATTGTCTGCATATTAATTTGAAATTTAACATTGTGTTAAAAAGGTAAAAACAGATTTCAATTATAAATGAGACAAAAACAGCTTTTCAGTTACAGTATTTGAAATGCTGCCTTGTCCTTCATAAAACAAAACAAAATCTAGGTTTATTTTTATAATGTGTGTTTTATTTTAAATGGCTAAATAAGGGTAAAGGCCAGGGATGCTTTTTGTAAGCATTTCTGAAAACAAATTTCAATTATAGATAATCTTGAATTTCTGTAGATAAAAAACCAAAATGTATAACCATTATTATCACTGTATTTTAATAACAGTTCATGTATTCATTAATCAAATATTTGGGTGCCTACTGGATAGTATTTTGTTTTTATTTTTTCCTCTTGGCATTTTTAATAATAATAGACCATTCAAAAGAAGAGATAATAGGGTTTACATCTCTACATACCAAAGGAATTTCCTTTCTTCATCAATACTGGTATTTACATGACACTGTGGAATCATAAAATGAAAAAGCAAGCCAAAGCAAAACAGAAAAACCAAATTAAAGTGAAAGGCAAAATTTGTGCTACTGTTACATATGAGGTTGAAAATGAAATTAATAGGCAGACAAATGCTGGTTTTGCAGCAGACCAGTGAAAATACTTCTAAGGGATTCATCTGGATTGAGCATGCTGATTCATGACAATAATGGCATTATCTGGGTGCAAGAGTTGTAGGAATAACTAGTTGGAAAGAATAATGGGAAATCAACCAAACGTCATTGTGAGTGTCTTCTTTTCCCTTCTGATATTTTTATAATTGAAATATAATTGACATAAAATACGTTAGTTTCAGGTGTAGTGCACAGTGATTTGTCATTTGTGTACATTATGTTGTATATCACATCCTCGAGGCTTACTTATTTTATAACTGAGGTTTGTACCTCTTAATCTCTCTCACCTGTTTTCCTGTATCCCCCTCCCCCACCCCACTCCATACTGGGTACTATTTTAGATGCTGAAGGTATAACAGTGAGTAAGACAAAAATGTTTTGTCCTCAGAGAGTTTATTGGAGAAGGATGTAATATGGGGCAGCCAGTGTTGGTTACACTTCCTGCCTTTAGTCATTATGAACATAAGTTATCAATCCCAGAATAAAAATAACTTAGAACTATATGAAGGTCAAGCACAATGACAGCTAGCTGTGTTCTCTGGGTGGTAAACTTGAGTCTTGAGCATCTTATATGATGTCTGCTAATTCTCCCCGTTCACCAGTTGAAGGACATTTGGGTTGTTTCCAGTTTGGAGCAATAATGATAAAACCGCTCTAAATATTAATAAACCTTTGTGGACATATGTTTCCATTTTGCTTAGGAAAATACTTAGGATGGATTAGGGGACTGGATGGCAAATTTTGTTGTAACTTCATAGGGAGCTGCCGAATTGTTGTTTGAAGTGGCTGTATCATTTTCAGTTCCCACTAGCAAGGTATAAGACCTCTGAGTGTTTTACGTTCTTAACTACATGCTGTCAGTCTTTTTGATTTTAGCCATTCTAATAGATATGTCGCAGTATTTCACTGTGATTTTAATTAGCATTTCCTTAATGATTAATGGTGGTGAGCTGCTTATTTGCTTATTTGCCATCTATACACAGTTGTCCCTTGGTGTCAGTGGGGGATTGTTTCCAGGAGACTCCCAGGGACTCCCCACCAGGAAACCAAAATCCATGGATACTCAAGTCCCTTCTTCAAAGACTTAGTACAGTTGCCCCTCCTTATCTGGGGTCCTCGGAACTGTATCTTCTTTGATGAAGGATCTGTTCAAATATTTTCCCCATTTTAAAGTTCTGTTTTTAATTACTAAGTTTTGAGAGTTCTTAATATATTCAGGATACAAGTCCTTTATCAGATGTGTTTTGCTGAGTTTCAGTCTGACTTGTCTTTTCATTTTCTTAACAGTGTCTTTTGATGAGCAGAAGTCTTTAATTTTGATGATGTCAGTTTATCAGTTTTATCTTTTATGGGTTATGCTGTTGGTCTCTTAGCTAAGAAATCTTTAACCTAAGGACAAAAAGATTTTCTCCTGTGTTTTCTTCTAGAAGTTATGTTGTTTTAGGTTTCACATTTAGGCATATGATTCATTTTTAGTTTATCTTTGTGTGTAGTATGGGCATAGATCAAGGCTTGTTGGTTTTTTTTGCGTATATATATCAAGTTGTCTAGCACCATTTGTTGAAAAACAAAAGGAATGAAACACATGTTATGTGAACTTCCTGGAACACCTTTGAAAAATTCTAGTAGTTTAAAAACAAGTATTTGGGAAACACTTATATTATATATACATGAAAATATTTAATTCTCTATTTTTTGAAGGGAGGGTTTGTGCTTCAAATGTAATGGAAGAGTGGACACTTTAAGTGTTAGCTTAAAGTTTGCTATAAGCTCACACTGCTAATAGAAGAGATTAGCAGTTGTTACTTTGTGGAAGTTCACATTTTAGGAATAAATACCAAATTATAGTTTCTGAAACTGTCTTAAGTTCCCAAGGTAAATTGTCTAGAACAGCATTTTTTAAGCTTCAGCTTGTGTTCCTTTGAGACCCTTTTATTGTTATTGTGCTGATGCAATTAAATAGAAGATTTCAGAATGCTTCAACACATAGTAAGTCTATAATAGTTTATGAGAATTTTGTTCCTGTAAGATGTGTATGTGTATTCCTTTGTGATATAAAATGTTTGTACTATAGGGTACAGTCAAAGAGTTTTAAAGTCACTTTTCTAGAATGATCAGATTATATTTTTGGTATAAAAGAATTTAAGAAGTTTTTTTCTTACGTTTTAGATGTGAGTTCTTGATACGCATGAAGGGGCAAGAGTTTGTTGATGAGGTTCAAGCTAGATATCCTCATCTTCTTGAACAGGTAAATGTGTTTTTGTAATTGGCAACGTTGAATTCTCCTAAATAATAATTATAAAATATGATTAGAAGTGATATTTACATCTGTTTTCTTATTAATTATTATTACATGTTTTGTATCCATGTTAACGACACCTTTAAGTTTTATTTTTCTAATTACCTTGTTTGTTCAGGACTTTTGAAAACAGATTGTTTTTTAGTTTTTTGAAAAATCACCCACTCTGCTGCTGTACATACAAATTTATGGTGTGGTTGGTGAGGGTCTTTAGTGTCTCCTCCACCTTTTTGAGAAAACAAACAAAAAATAACTTTTGAGGAGTTTGGAACCTCTGAGAGTGATCCAGCTGAAGTATGATTCTCTAAGTGTAATGAGGAGCCATGAATACTTTTTCCTGCTTTCCTGAAACTAGAGAAGTACTCGAGTTCTAATTTGGAATTAGGTGAAATTTTTATGATGATTAAGGTAAAACAAAGCAAAGTGAATTATGTGAATTACCCGGTTTTCAAAGAGTGTGTACATTACTTAGACATCTTAGTGTTGCTCCGTTCAGGTTGTTTGAGATTTCTAATTCTACCTATTTTTTTTCCCCTGTTTCATTAGCTGTTGTCAACTTCAGATACTCCTGGAGATGAAAATTCTGATCCACCAAGTATGTATAAAAACACTCCAAATATAGAATGGGATTTTAAGTAAGAATACTAAGAACAAAAATATGTAAACAAAGGATTTCTGAGGTCATAGGAAAAGGTGCTAGGAAGTTAGCTATAAATATTATGTATCTACTAAGATACATGACATTTTTAGAGGATTCTCAGAAGTATTCTAGATTTTGTTCTTTAAATGCTGATGTTCCAACTGGGGAGACAAGACAGATGCAGAAGGAAAACAACCACAGCAAATACACGTGCCCGTGTGTACTTAAGTTTATTTTAAAGCAGTTTTCCAGCAGACGGCAGTCAAGTGTCTTGAAGAATTATGTGTAATTTTCTTTGTGTAATTTTCACGGAAGTGCCATATTGGCTAGCGTTGATCTGTTAACAGAAAATGACCCCCTGAACACCCTATCTAGAGTGTCCTCGTGCTTCCTAGTTTGTTTTAGGCACCTTACTCTACTTTATTTTCTTCACAACATCTGTCACTATCCAAAATCGTATTACTTCTTTAAGCACATTTTTTAAACTGCATCTGTAGACATATTTTGTGTGTACTAGTCTTCCGTTTCACTGTTCTTCCTTCCCTTGTTTGTTTTGTTCTCTCTGCTTCGTCTATCCGCTTCTGTAGATCCTGTCCATCCTTCAAGTCCAAACTCTTAAAGCCACTTTTTCCATAAAGTCTTTGTTGATTTCCCCCAGTTTCCTGGCTGAACTGAGGTAATTTCTCACTTCTGAATCTATGTGGCATCTCGGTTTCCGAAAGTGACTACACATCACAGTCATTTGGGGAGTTTTTAGAAGATTCCTATGCCCCGTCCCTAGAGAGTCTCTCATTCAGGAGGTCTAGGATGCAGCCTGGGAAGGGGTGTTTTTTAAAAGCACAGCCTGTTACGATACTCTCAGCTGATCCTTCCCAGCTTCAGACTTTTGTTGGAGTGACAGGTGGTTGGTGCACGTAGCTTGTCTCCCTTACCAGGGTATAATCGAAACTAAAGATTGTGTCATAGTCATTACTGTTCTCCACATTTTTATATTTATGGGATTTACAGAGATGTGTGTCTTATTAACATAGTTGTTCATTTCGGACCTGGAGAAAGTTCTTCAGAAGATGCAGTCATGATGAGTACACCTGTGGTCAAAGCTGCCTTGGAAATGGGCTTCAGTAGAAGCCTGATAAAACGGACGGTACAGAGTAAAATCCTGACTACGGGAGAGAATTACAAAACAGTCAACGATATTGTGTCAGCGCTTCTTAATGCTGAAGATGAGAAAAGAGAAGAGGAGAAGGAAAGACAGACTGAAGAAGTGGCGTCAGGTACTTGGGGATGTTAGTCACCGGCCTTCTTTCTCAGTGGGGCCCACAGCTCTGTCTCATGTGTCGCAGGACAGCGCACATCCTCGCCTGTCCACTGACAGCTGGTGGTCGTTTGCATCCCCTCCTCCAGGGTGGGCAGTGTGTTACTACCCTAGTCCCTAGTTGAGAACCATTGACTGCATTTTTTTTCTGAATGTTTGTTTTCCAAGAAGATCCCTGATTTATGCTAATCAGAGGATTTTTAACATAACTCCTTTCTTGAGCTATATTGCATTTCTTCCTCATATGTAACAAATTTAAACTGTTTTGAAAAAGCAAGATTTTAAAGTTGAATGCATGTCTTATTTCTTTTTTTGTTGTTGTTGTTCCTTTAAATCACATTCTTAATATGGTATTTGACTCTCTAGTCCTTGCTAAGTGATCCTTGTACCAAAAATAGAATCCGTGATGAAATTCTAGGGTTTGATGAAAAGGCCCTGCCCAGCCCAAAGACAGGAGACCCCTGATTCTGGTATTCACCCAAGTCATGTTACGCTTCACTCCCAAAACGAGTCTTTCTGAGTAATCATTCCTCTCATAAATATTAGTTGAGGATGAGCACCTGTGCCAAAGACTGTGCTAATCATGGTGCTGATTTTCAAGGAACTTGTAGACTAGCTGTGGAGAATGTGCAAAGGATGGGGTTAAAGAGCCAGCTGAGATGAAGGTTGCACATTTGGTGTAAACTGGGGTATTTGGGTTGGAAGACACTTTCTGTTAAGGCTTGTAAGTACTGATAGGAATAGTTTAAGAACTGTCTTATGTGGCCATGTAGCAAAATGTTTAAAGTCTGATTACTAGTTGGGACAAATTTGTGTTTTGATCCTGGCTCTGTCAGTTACCAGTTTGGCAATTTAACCAGACTTGTTTTCTCATCTGTAAAATGAGGATGATAATAGTACAAATTGCATAGGCAGCTGTGGGAATTAAATGAGATGTTACAAGTAAAACAGTTTAGTGCCTAGCACATCAAAAAATTTTTTGTGAAGTAGATTGATTTGAGAAGTAGGAGGGGCTTCGTGAAAGAAAGGGCCTGAGGAGAGTGAAGAGATTCCAGGGTTGATACGCGGTTAGGAAACACAGGTGAAATGAAATCACTGTAATGAGTCTAGTCACTAGTTATGTGACTTTCTTCTACTTTGTAAGCTTCAGAGAACAGTCATGAAATATGAATTTGAAACTAATAAGAGAAAAGGTCAAATAAGGAGTAGGGAGGAAGAGTTTAGGGTGCTAATAAGAGATCGCTGAACACCTGGCAGATTTTAGGTAGAATGGGAAATAAGCAAGCCAGGAGACGGCTCTGTGTTAGTAGGGTTGGGAATGACATGGAGATACTGTATCGGGGGAAGGACACATCTGTTAGTAGTGAGGTGAACTATTAAGGTAGAAGAGAGGGGAATTTCATAATTTTGAGATGGAAAGAGCATCTCACTTCTAGAAAGAAGTAAAAGGGGAAGGAAATAGTCTTCCTTTTACAACTTTACAATAGACTTCTTTTTTATTTTGCATTAAACTTGTACATGTAGAGATGTACTTTTTTTTTAAGGCTGAAAAAGGCATTTAAATATTATGGTGATTGGAACATCAAAAGAAGGAACTGTTTGAAAAATGCTTTAGGATTTCATGCCCATATTCCATAAATGTAGGAAATTTAACTCTGGACTTTCTGTGATTTGGGGTTAAAAAAAGAAAACATTTGCTTTTAAAAAAAGATTAGGCTTGATTCATATGCATTTGTTACTGCTGTAAACCCAGACATTCGTAAGATAATATTGGTGGCTAACAACGTGCCAGTTACTGTGCTGAATACTTTTCATGTACTGTCTCGTTTAATCCTTACAACTCTTTAAGGAAAATACTGCTACCTTCATTTACAGATGAGGAAACCGAGGTGTATGGAGACTGGGGCACAGAGCTCGTAGGTGGCTGAGCCAGCATGGGGATCTGGGCCGCCCTAACTCTGCATCTCAGACTCTGTAGCACTGCCTATGGCTTTTTAGGCATGGAGTTGAAAAGGACACTCATCTAGGAGACTTGGTCCTACAACTGAATTTTTTCTGTAAGGAGCAGCCATACCTGCTTTGTTTAACTGAGTGGATCTTTTTATCACCTGAGACAATTTATATGAAAATACTTATAAAAGTAAAGTGATACAATGCAGAGAAAAGCCAGTATTATTAATTCCATGGGGGCAAGGTACAGAGGTGGAAAATTTATACTGTCCTCTCAAATTCTTACTTACTTTTCAATAGAATAAAGCGGTGTTCTAAGACACAGAAATATATAGATTTTATTTACTTATTTAAATTGAAGTACAGTCAGTTACAATGTGTCCATCTCTGCTGTGCCACACAACGTCCCAGTCATGCATATACATACATATATTTGTTTTCATATTTTTCATTAAATGTTATTACAAGATACTGAATATAGTTCCCTGTGCTACACAGAAGAAATTTGGTTTTTATCTATTTTTATATATAGTAAATATATAGACTTTAAAAAGTGACAAAAAGAAAGACCATATGTGTACTATATAGTAAGCCTTAGCTAAATCTCCTGAAAGTTTTCCAAATGACAAACATTCAAGTTTGCACAAGTAATTTTGTCCCTCTTTTTTGAGCTCCTATTTATCTAGTGTCTGAGTTGTTCATAGGGTTGGTAGTTAGTGACTATATGAGTGTAGCTGAGCAATTTATAATCTAATGGATTTTTCTTTTCTTTTTTTCTTTTTCACATGGAGGTGATTTGTCATTAATTCGGAAGAATAGAATGGCTCTCTTTCAACAGTTGACATGTGTGCTTCCTATCCTGGATAATCTTTTAAAGGCCAATGTAATTAATAAACAGGAACACGATATTATTAAACAGAAAACACAGATACCTTTACAAGCACGAGAGCTGATTGATACCATTTTAGTTAAAGGAAATTGTGCTGCCAACATCTTCAAAAACTGTCTGAAAGAAATTGACTCTACGTTGTATGAGAACTTATTTGGTGAGTTTGTTAAAAGTTATTTTAGAAATTCTTGGGATTATGTTCATCTTTGTGTCTGACAAACAAATCTTATTAGCAAACTATAGTCTATCCATTTAATTTCTTTGAAGAAGGTGAAGTCTTATTGCCCAAGTAGTATGACTAAATAGTTTCTGATCCTGCGTAGCTGGAATCTCTGTTGTTCAATGTATAGTAGGTGAAAAAAATAGGTAGTAGGTAAAGCAGCCTTGTACTTGGTAGAGTGATGCCTTTTTAAAGTTTTTTTTAATTGAAGTTTAGTTGATTCACAGTATTATATTAGTTTGAGGTGTACAGCACAGTGATTCAAAATTTGTATAGATCAGACTACGTTTATAGTTGTTAGCTATATTCCCTGTGCTGTAGCTTGTTCATTTTAAACACAGTAGTTTGTATCTTTTCATCCCCTCTCCTCTCTTGCCCTTCCCCCCCCTCCCCTGTCCCCACTGGTAGCCACTAGTTTATTCTCTATATCCCTGTCTGGTTTTTCTCTTCTTCTTCTTTTTCTGTTATATTCACTAATTTGTTTTATTTTTTAGATTCTACGTATAAGTGATAACATACAGTGTTTGTCTTTCTCTGACTTATTTCACTGAGCATAATACCCTCCAGGTCCATCTGTGTTGGACTTGGCAGAGTTCATTCGTTTTTATGGCTGAGCTGTTAGAGTGATGCTTTTTTTATGTTCTTCTTTCTTCAGTGGAAAAGAATATGAAGTATATTCCAACAGAAGATGTTTCAGGTAAAACAGAATTGACTTAGGACCAACATGAAATATTACCTTTATTATTTTTTAAATGAGAGGTAAAGAAGAGACAATTGCACTGAAGTTTTTGTTGTTGTCACTAGGTCTGTCACTGGAAGAACAGTTGAGAAGGCTGCAGGAAGAAAGAACATGTAAAGTGTGCATGGACAAAGAAGTGTCTGTCGTGTTCATTCCTTGTGGGCACCTGGTGGTGTGCCAGGAGTGTGCCCCTTCTCTAAGAAAATGCCCCATCTGCAGGGGTATAATTAAGGGGACTGTTCGTACATTTCTCTCATGAAAAACAGGCTTAACGTTAGCCTCTACATAGAAGTCTTTGAAATACTGTTGAATGTTTGAAGCTATCTGAAGTCAAAAAGGAACTATAGGTTCTTCAGTAACATTTGTGCTCTGCTCTGTTTTCTTTGGTAATAGTAACCTTGTTTCAAAAAAAATAGTATCGTGTAATATTTAACCTTAGTCTCTGTTTATATGAAAGGGAAGATGGATGTTTGATTGAGCTATATTAGTATACATGTGTGAACACAGGAGAAATTAGAGGAGTGGTCTTAATGCTGCAAGGCATCATTTCAGGAGTGACTGGATTTGGTGTTCTGTCTGAAAGCTTCGAGTACTGCGTTAGAGTGTAGTTGAGAACTGGAAACCAGGAGCTCTGGAGTTTATCAGCGATAGTTCCAAATTGTTGTTGGTGTTTTTTCACTTGTGTTATAAAATAAGGGTTTTTTGTCTTAGTGGTAAGAAAGCTTTTCCCTAATTTGTGAGAAACATCTTAATAAAGGTCTTCTAAAAAACTATGTCATCACATTTTTTTCCTCTGATTTAAAAAGTAATTTCCATGAGCCTTCATAGGGTTGTACGGATTAAATGAGATAATGTATCTAAGCATAGTACCTGTCACCTTGTAAGCACTCAGATGCTAGCTATTATAAAAAAATGAATTCATGAAACAGATTACCAAGAAGTGTTTTTTAATAGTAATGGAATTTTTGAGAATTTCCTTTAGATAACAGTATCTGTCCAGTTGCTTTGTATATTATAGATATAATTTGAATTAAAAATCCGTATCAAAAATCCTTTAAAAATTATGTAAATCATCATTGAGATTTTTTTAAAAAATGGTGTAATCAGTTTGTTGGGATGAGGAGGTGGGAGTACAGGCAATGGTAAGTGTCTCTTTTTGGGCCCCGTCATATTTGACCTTTCCCAGGTCTGGGTCCATGGCAGACTTCTGAGGCCGAGTGAGGAGGTCTCATATTAAACACTCAGAGTTCCTTCTGAATCTCATAGCTCCTTTAGATCCCTTTCAATAGAGAGTATAGTGGGAAGAATAAAAATTTATCTTTTTTTTTTAGTTGCCAGACTGTTAGGTGCTCTTTAATGACTGTTAAATAGAAATAGGAATTCGATAGAAGACTGTCCTTAAAGCCCTGGGACGCACCCAGGGGAGCAGGTCCTGTGCCAGCCTGGCCACAGCACAGCACCTTTCTTCTGGGACTCGTGCTCTCACAGCTTTCGACCTGGGTCTGGGTCCCCAGAAAGCCTGGTCCTCTGCTGGGCAGAGAGCTGCCCTGCAGGCTCCATGAAGCTTCCATGGGCGCAGGCCTGGCCCTTAGAAGTCAGACTTTACACCGGGCAGGGAGTTGCAGCGAGTTTTCCATGATGCAGGCTGGGCCCTGGCTAATGTGTGTGGCAAAGCCAGGAGCAGGTGTGCTCGTGAGGGTCTGGGGCCCACCGGCCAGGCCCTGGCCTTTGTTTCCATCCTAATGTGCTGCTGATGCATTTATGTTAGTCCAAATGCACACATCTAGGGTCAGGACCTCATGTCAGTGAGTTTCTCCCTGCCATTATGGAAGGAATGTAAAGAGAATTAAATCATTTTAGAAACTGCTTTTTTCTTTTTGCTTAATAAAATCATGTATTGAGGCTCCACCGTGTGCCAGGCACAGTGCTATTTTCTTGTTTAGACAAATAAGATGTGTTATAGAGATGAATTGTGTCCTCCCAAATTCACATGTTGATGCCCTAATCCCCAGTACCCCCAAATGTGGCTGAATTTCAAGATAGGACCTTTTAAGAGATAATTAAGGGAAAATGAGATCATATGAGCCTGAATCCAGTATGACGGGTGTTCTGGTAAGAAGCGATTAGGGCACAGACACACCCAGAGGACCACGTGAAGACACCAGAGGAGGATGGCCATCAACACGCCAAAGTAAAAGGCCTCAGAAGAAGCCATCTCTTCCAGCATCTTGATCTCGGACTTCTAGCCACCACAACTGTGGAAAAAATAAATTTGTTATTTGTGCCGCCTAGTCTTGGGACCTTGTTATGGCAGCTCTGGCACGCTGATGCAAGGCGCTGAACGCCTTAAAGCACGTTAGCTCTCATACTTGTAACAGCCGTGGGGTGAAATTGGAACATGGTCTACCTGGCTCCTTGGCTTGTGCTTTTTGGGCAAATTGTCCTATTATTTTGGGCAAATTGTCCTATTAAGCTATTTTGATACTTTAAAAAATTGCACGACTGCTATCCAACATAAAAACTGTATAACTTTTTATTTGAGTTCTGTTTGATGGTTTATTTTGACTTCATTCAGCTATTCAGTTTTAATAATGTATAAAAACTGTTCTTAACATTCAGTAAAAATATTGCATAAAGTATAAGTAATTGGAAATGTAATTAATGTTTTATCCACTTGCTGAATCCTCATGCAGCTAAATCAGAATAGGATTTATCCTCCCTCTGGTAGTCCTTTCCTTTCTGCCCTCCTAATGGTAATAGTCGGCGTCATAACAGGGATTCATTATGTTGAACAAGTAGGTGAGAGTCAGATGCTTCGTTAGATTTATTTTTTGCCATATTTAGTCCTTAACACCCTAAGCGATGGTTATCCCTTTTTTGTAAGTGGAAATTCAGGCTCAGTGAGATGATGTGGACTGCAGGGGGCGCAGGTGGTGCGCAGTGGATTGCAGGTGATAAGGTGAGAGTGCCTCCAAAATGTGTACCTTTTTAAATGTTAATCCACACTTCAGTTTTTTACTTACGTTTGGAAGTGATGTGTTTCTGTTTCTTTACTCTTAACATAAATGGGGAGGATCGTGTAACTTACCCTCTGGTAGGCTTCATGCTTCTCTGGTAGTGCCCCACGTTCTCCCTGAAGGCAGCGCAGTCCTGGAGCTGAGTGCTCTCTCCTCTGCTCCACGCTGACACCTTGGGAAGCCCTTTGCTTGCTGACTGCCATTCCAGAGGCCAAAGGACAGCGGGCTGTCAGCTTTGAAGACAGGCCTAAATGTTTTCCTAGAAGTGTAACATTTCAATCAGTATCCCCAACTATATATAATATAAACCTGTTACAGCATAGTAGCTGTTCTGAAACATTTTGGCCTCAGAACCTGTTTTATAATCCTAAAAACTACTGAGGACCCCCAGAGAGCTTGTGTTTTATTGATATCTACCACGTTAGAAATTAAAACAAAATTTTAAAGTATTTAATTCATTTGAAAGTAAACACATTAAATATTTTAAAAATAAAGCGATGCACATTACATGTCAATGTAGTACTTAACGAAAAATTAGTATTTAAAAACTTTAGTGAGGAGAGTGGCATTGTTTTACATTTGAGCAGAGCTCTTCAATGTCTGGCTTTATAGATGACAGCTGGATTCTCATGCTTGTATCAGTTTCTAATGTCTTGTTATAAGTTGTTTTGATTAAAAGATGTGACGAGAACTCAGCTTCAGAGTATGTATTTGAAAAAGGAATAACTTTCCAGATAGCTGGATTTTTCTTTTTTGATGCTTCACCAAAACTTGACAATTGGTAGTTTCTTAAAGGTAGTTGGAGTGTGGACTCTAAAACCATATTAAGGAGATTTAATTTTTTTTATTTTACTTTAAAAATATATTAATTTATACATTTTATATTTTAGATTCACAGCAAAATTGAGCAGAAAGTACAGAGGGTTCCCATATCCTCTCTGTCCCTACACATACATGCACAACCTCACTAACCAACATCCCTCACCAGAAGAGTGCATTTGTTACAACAACTGATGAACCTACATCGACACATCATTATCACCCCCAAACCACAGATTACATTGGGGTCACTCTTGGTGGTGTACATTCAGTAGGTTTGCACAGATGTACAATGATACGTACCCAGCACTGTAATATCACACAGAATAATTTCACTGCCCTAACATTCTCTGTGCTCTACCTGTTCCTCCCTCCCTCCCTCCCAGCTAACCCCTGGCAACCCCTAGCCTTTTCAATGTTCAATGACCTTTTGTTATTTCTTATGTAAGATCTATCGGTGAATCTCACACTTTGCAAGGATCTTTTACTCATGCATATAATCTTGTACCATCATGCATTGGTCATTTAGAAAACATGTGTTTATTGAATTATGTCGATCTCCCAAGTGCTGGCACAGTTCATTATTCAGTATCAAAAAGTCATGTTTGTTAATCTCACCTGCATCATCAGGGCAAGTCTGAGTACTGGGAAGCTCTCAAGTTCACCGTGGTAGATGCAAGTTTTCTAAAATTTTATATTTTTGCCTAAAAGCTTGATTTTTATCACTTAGCTTTGAGCACTATCAGTTGTTTTCTCAGGCTCACTTTGAGAGAATAATTGCAAATACTTGTCTGTCAATATTATTGTTCAGTCATTCTTTCAAGTGAAAATGTTACTCGTGAAGAAATCAGCTGGTTCAGCTTGCAGTTCAATCTCTCAAGTGCTTGTTTTTGAGACAACTATTGTACTTTTGTGTGTGGCAGCATAAATATTTGTTTCCCATTTTATCAATATTAAAATGATGTCTACTCAAGGGTCAGATTTAACAAAAATAATTTTACTGCTTCATCAAAAATACTCTTACATGCAAGTGGCAATTATTTTTACTGTGAGTATGTGACAGTAATGGACGCGGCTGCTACTACCTCAGTTCATACTAAGGTCAGCAGTTTTATCACCATTATATTTGTGCCATTAGTGAAAATGGCAAATAACATCTTAATATTATTTTTGAATTTCCAGAGCCCCCAAAGGATCTCAGGAACCGTCAGAGGTCCATGCACCGCCCTTTAAGACCCACTGATGTAAGGTAACCTTAGTCTCATTCTCTACCAACACTGATCCAGAAAGAATTGTATTAAGGAAGAGCATTTAGCCCTCTCTCTCTTTCTCTCTCTTTTTTTTTTTTTTTTTGGTCTTAGGGGGAAGTAATTAGGTTTATTTATTTACTTATTTACTTTAATGGAGGGACTGGGGATTGAACCTAGGACCTCATGCCTGCTAAGCGTGCGCTCTACCGCTGAGCTATACCCTCCCCCTAGTCCTCTCTTTTGAGGTTTTCTTTGGCACAGAAGGAGCTCCCTTGGCCCCTGCACTTTCCTTCTTGGTGCTTTTGGAAGAGAAATTTGGGTATGCCTGGTAGCTCAATCTCATCTTTTCTTTCTCTTGGGGAGCCAGCCAGACTGCCTGCAGGGTGGACCTCGCACCTTGTGATTTTGGCATCACAGGGACCTACTTCGGTTTTTCAGTATGTCTCATGACTGAGAAGTAAAGTGTCATTTTGGGATTCAGTATTAGGAAATCTATGCTTAAGTGTTGTCCTCAAAGCCTTTTATCAGTAATAAAGGTGACATTTTAATCTGTGTGTGATCACTTCTTGCATGCTTTATTGGTTCTGAACTCAGATAAAAGAGGTGTCATTTATCGGACCCCACAAACCCACAGCAGATGGTGTTGCCTGGCTGGCCTGTGGGGAAATACATGATTAGCTTAGTGGAAACAGAAAATCCATGGTAATAATTGATAATTATGCCCAGTCCTGTTCTACTTCTGGTGTAATGGTGTCCAGACAGGTTTTAACCAGTGAGTCCTTGGCACTTTTGATTCCTAGCAACTCTGGTGAGAAAGGGTGGTAGGTAATTATCTTGTAAGCCAAGTGACTGTGTGGCTCACTATGTTATTGTGAAAAGAGCCCAGAATTGCACATCCAAAGGCTTTGCCTCTAAGCTCAGTTCTACCATTTAATAAGGCTTTTGGCAAGCCTTTCATAGCTCTCTTTGTTCCCTGGCTTTTCTTTGAGGGTCAACTTGTGCCTTTCTTATCCCTTACAAAGTTATTGTGGTGTCTAATGTGAGACTGCACAGAAAAACGTACGTGCTCTCTGTCAGCAGCCCGTGCTAATGAGTGTCACTGGTCTGATCCCCAAGAAGCAAACATCTTGTTTCAGGTCTGACCTGGATAAATTGAGTCACAGCATTGTGTTTGCCTATTTGTTTTGTTTTTTAAAGTCCAGGTAAAATTTGAATCGATACTTGTAAAAAATTCAAAGTATATAAAGTAAAATGTTTAAATCCTCCTTAATTTCTCCCCACCACTGCTTTCAATCTCCTCCCCAGGGCTAATCACCATTAAATTTGCTGTGTATTTAATGTGCGTGGTTGTGTACATATACATGTGCATACATACATAGGAATGTTTTTTATGTTACTTTTTATGCCTTGAAGGTCTTTGCTTTTCCACGTCAGTAGGTAAACGCCCCATGATTTTTCTGTGCAAATGGAAATCATAATCTTGGCTTCAAAGTTACAAGGAAACTAAAAATTTTTCTCTGTCCTTATCTGATAAGTATCATCTCTACAGCATTTCAGATGTGCAATCTCTGTTTCCACCAGAATTCGCTGTCTCTTGAGGAAGCTTATCCATTTTGAAGCTATTGTGATTGCTAAAGTAATTCATAGAACAACATAATTTGGATAATTGGGGTTTATTTTACAGATACCAAAGGTGAAAATGCATGGAGGCAGGTGTAGAGATTTGTGATAGGTTTGGCATGTTTAAACGCACAGAGGTGCAAAAGAATAAGATACGGGTTACTGAGGCTCTGAGAGATACATTTTAATTCAAAGTAGAAAATAATTGCCGTAAGAGAGGTTCAGATAAAGTTCTATGGGGATTTTTAAAAAGAATTTTAGCTAAGGTAGTAATCAATTCGGTATTGAGGATTAAACAGGATTGGAATATACGAAATTGGAGAACAGAGGTTTTGGGAAATATTTTCCAGGCAGAGGGAAGAGTATGAAGAAAGACAAAAATACATGAAGCATTTTTGGGAAAAAGTGAGTAGTTGTAGGGTCAATGAAATGTGTATAGTGGGAAAAAGGGTTGGAAAGATAGGATGCGAACCAGATTTAAGAGAACCTACAGATTACAGGCTTTTCTGTCTAGACATTACTCAAAACGGAAAGAACAGCTTTTTTTTTTTGTAATTAGGTTCATTTATTTATTTATTTTTTCAGTGGCAGTACTGGGGATTGAACCCAGGACTTCATGCATGCTAAGCATGTGCTCTACCACTGAGTTACACCCTCCCCTCGCTGAGCTAATACTGGGAAAGAGGAAGTGGGGGAAATGGGAAGATGTTGGCCAAAGAGCACAAAATTGCAGTTATTTACGATGAATAAGTACGGAGATCTAATGTACAGCAGGAATCAGGTGCTCTCATCACAAAAGTCACATGGTAACTGTATTTTTTATTTAAACTATAGAATTTTTAAAAATGGGCACTTGCCCCCAGTGCACAGCACACACAAAAATCAATTGGCCATGGATTGTGGGTTTACTCCTGGTGCTCAATTCAGCTGCATTGGTCTTTATGTCTGTTCAATGCCAGTTCTACACTGTTTCAATTACTGTAGCCTTGTAGGAAGTTTTTAAATTGGGAGATGTGACCCTCCATCTTTGTGCTTATTTTTCAAGGTTGTTTTGGCTTCTTGGGGCCCATAGTGATTCCATATGAATTTGAGAATAAAGCTATTGGAATTTCAATAGGGATTGCATTGAATCTGTAGCTTGCCTTGGGTGATACTGACATCTTTGCAATGTCAAGTCTTCCCACTCATGGACATGGGAATTTTTCCCATTATTTAGGTCTTTAATATCAGTAGTGCTTCATAGTTTTCAGTGTACAAGTCTTTCAGCTTGGTTAAATTTCTCCCTATGGTGTTTTATTCTTTTGCATGTTGTAAATGAGGTTGTTTTCTTGATATCCTTTTGGATTGTTCATTGCTAGTGTACAAAAATATAACTGATTTTTGTGTGTTGATCTTGTACCCTGCAACTTTGTGAATTTTATTAGCTCTGTATTTCTTGTTGATTTGTTGGGAATTTTTATATCTAGGATCATGCCAACTACAAACATAGGTCTACGTCTCTCCCAGTTTTGAAGCGTTTTCTCTCCCGTAATTGCTTTGGCGGGCACTTTCAGCACAACGTTGAACAGCAGTAGCGAAAGTGGGCTTCCTGGTCTTGTGCCTGATCTTAGTGGGAAAGCTTTCAGTCTTTTACATTTGAGTGTATTAACTGTGGGCTTTTTTTTTTCTTTTAATAAATGCCATTTGCCAGGTTGATGAAGTCAATTCTGTTTCTAGTTTTCTTTTTAAAATTTTTTTTATTTTTTAATTTTATTTATTTTTTTGCAAACAAGTGGTTTATTAATTAGAAATTCAAATGAAGGAAATATTGAGAGGATTTTCTTTAGAACTCTTTTTTTTTTACTTTTTCATTGCGTAATAGTTATTTTACAATGTTGTGTCAAATTCTAGTGTAGAGCACAATTTTTCAGTCATACATGAACATGTATATATTCATTGTCATATTTTTTTTCGCTCTGAACTACCACAAGATCTTGTATATATTTCCCTGTGCTATACAGTA